AATTAATTATTATTAAATTTACATAAAATTTATTAAATATAAATTTTATTATATATATAATTCGTAATAATCCATATTTTCCTCATTTTTTTTCCTCATTACTGAAGCCAAAATTATTGAACCAATGATTAATAATACCTCTCTACAATGGAGAAAAATAATTTAAAAACTTCCACATTTATTCGAATAATCCTGCTTCATAGTGCTCTCTGAACTGGCGACAGTGGCAGATGGCAGGATGCTGGTGAATGCGGATTCACCGCATCTCGAGAGAAAGAAGCGCGATCGAGCATGGTATCGCGCACCGTCAATCCTTGATCGTAATGGTACAAGTTATCTCGTTAAGGCTGGGAGAATATTCTCCCTGAATAACCAGAACACTCCTGTTTGAAACTCCGTGCGACGGCGAAGGCCAGCAGCCGTCGAGGATTAAGGGCGAGCTTTTTGCAAGGGCAGCGACCAAAACGAGTTGAAACGAATGCCTCTTGTCTTGTGTACGAGCATTGGAAAGGACCAGGAGGAGGACCAAGGAAGCAAAGAGTTGGAGAGAGAGAGAGAGAGAAAGAGAGAATTGAAAGAGAAGCTGACTGAGTGAGTCAGTGGAAGGAGCTAGGCCAGTGTCTTTCGAGTAGACGGCGTGACTGTCGACCGGAACCCCGGGGGGCTGTAATTTCATCTCGCATTAGCCAGGGAAAGTCCCCGCGGGATACGCTGAATGCATCTCACGGTTCGCGGACTTCTTCAGGGCAACGAAAGAAGAAGAAGAAGAAGAAGAAGAAAAAAAAAAGAAAAACAGGAGAGCTTTGAATGAAGCCCAGCGGCTTTCTTGGATTTCCATTGCGGCGTAAATGCGCGTCTCCACGGCGCGGCGCGGGCGTTCGTGGCGACCACCGTAACAAACCACCGTATCGCGAGAACCTCCATCGCACGTAGTTACATTCACGCAACCGCGCTTTTCCTCGCCTTGGTTTTTTGTCGATCGTCCTCGTTATTTCCTCGGTGAAAGAGTCCCTCGCGAACAAACTACACGAGGAAAGATCACAGGAGAGGAGGATTCCTTTTTCTTGTACCCTTTGCGCGAAAGGTTTCTCAGCGATTTAGCCTCGATGTTCGCTAGATTCGGTGGTGAATTAATCTTCCAATGGCTTCTTTCTCTTCTAAATAAACCGTTCGTGTACATTTTTAAATTTCACAGTGGCAGTATTACGAGAGTCGTGTTTGATCGATCGTTGGAAACGTTCGGAAACGAAGCTTGGAAACGTACGTAAAAGTTAATGGAATTTAAGGTGTTTCAAACGGTCCAGTATCTATCTATAAAATAATAAATCTCAAACGCTCGTTACATCGTTCACATCGTATATTAATTTTTAATAAGCATACGTTTGCTGTAAATATCGAAATTCCGAAGTGTTTCGTACATTTCATAATCAATCACTGCTGCTTTCCAAACGCGATACATCACACGCGTGGCACGAAACTGCTTCGCTCGAATGTGACGATTGAAAAAAATCAATTATTCATCCCGAGTCTCATCGGGCGTGAATTGATAAAGAATCGATTAGCAGAATAATTTGTACGCCGTAAGCTGAGAAAACTATAGTTCTGACTTTCGCGCGAGATCGAACAGTTTTCAAATGTACGTGGACGAGCCTGTGTGTTCGTAATTTTAACGAAGGTTTAAAAAATGTTTGTTGAATCGGTTGGAGAACCGATTATTAATGACACGAAGAAACGTGGACTTACTATTTGCCCCTTTCCACGTGGCTTTATATCCGACAAGGTGAAAAAAAGCCAGGGGCTATTACTTCGTCGAGACGTCATTTACATTTATTCAAACTGAAAATCCTTTCTTCGGCACGCCACCATGCAAAGAACAATCGAACGTAATTGACGGCACGATAATTATAAAAGTAAATTACTTATACACAAGGAACGATCTCCAGAAATTCGCCTGCGCAACAATAGCGAAACAACAGCGGTAAATAAATTAGAAACATCAAAGAAGTACACGGTACACCATTTTTGCGCATGTTCGCGTTTAAACAATTGCCCGTTGAACGAGCAACACGCAACACGTGACGTGAAAAGCTGCGTAATTTACGGGATCGTAATTCACGGCTATAAATGAAAAACATATTTTTCTGATCAAAATTTAGTCGTTTCGTTCCACCGAAGGTGAAAATACTTCTAATCCTCGCGAAATATTACACGCCAGCTCGAACAACAACGTCAATACCGTAACAATGCAATATCGCGTAGTTTCACGTGAAAAAATGAATAGCGAATGTTTTCTCGCGAATTTTTGCACGAATCGCTGCTGCAGAGTTCAACGTTAACACGGAGAATCATTCCGATTAATTTTACATACACAGACATACCGGTGACAAACGTGTTTCTTTTGCCATTTATCGTTCGTTATCGCGCAGCATAACGAATACACACATAATTTCACGAACTGTTATTGCCGATTCAATCAATATACCTTCAAACGTTCTTTCACGCGAGCAATTCGAACAATCCGATCGTAGATCGGATAATTCTCAATTGGGTTGGAGTTGAGCTGGCGTTACGAACGAAATTTTCTACGATTCACAATGCGGGAAGAGTGACGAACATTTTCTAAATCTCACGCCTCGTCATTGTCGATGGAGAAAAGAGAGACTTGAATCCTAGAATTACCGCAACGGTAATTAATCGAATGAGACCGGAGTGTACGTAATTCTGACAGGGCGGTCTCACTCCTCCGGCTATCAGCAGCAAAGTTTGTTGCCAGCACACGCCCGAGCGTATACACTCCGCCACTTACGATTCTGGCTTCTTAACCGGAGTAAACTCATCCATCACAACGATAAACCGTCGACGAGCAGTTTGAGGTTTCTCGATCTCGGGATTAACGCGTGTCGTTCGGAGCCCCGATTATTACCGAAGCTGATAGCGGGGCTCGCTTTGCTAATACACGGCGTCGAGGAGTTTCAAGGATCGTCGGACGGTAAAGAGGGTTGCCACGGTGCCCTCGGTGCACGCTCGCTTCAGTTAAGTCTCTCTGTAAAGTTTGCGTCGCGAGAGAGAGAGAGAGAGAGAGAGAGAGAGAGAGAGAGAGAGAGAGAGAAGTAGGAGCCGCGGCCCGTTAATGTGTCGTAAATCGTTGCTCTCGCTCGGTGCACAAGTCAACCACAGAGATTACACTCGACCGAGGCAGTCAAAAGTGACTCTCTGTCTCTTTCTCTTTCTCTTGGCGCAGCTTAGTCAAGTATCCGGTCTTAACAATGTACAAGGCTAAGCGTGAATTCTCCTCCTATATCCTCGAGTATCCGTACCGTGAAAAGCTAGCCAGCTTTAGCTCGTTCGCCGCGATGGAACGAGGCGAGGCTGCCTGCCAGAAGGAAGCAGGACTGCGAGCGTTGGAAATCGTCGGAAAAAGCACGGCACACGGAATCAAATGAGTTTACACAGCGACGAGGACGACGACGACAACGACGACGACGACGACGGAGTTTCGTAAGTGTAATCAAGCTAGAGATCGAGAGAAACAGAGAGAAGAAGAAGAAGAAGAAGAAGAAGAAGAAGAAGAAGAGAAAGGGAGAGAAAGAGACACAACGAAAAGGGAATTGCCACACCACCAGTCTAAAGTCTTCGCCGGCGATTTGAATTTCCGCCCAAAGGCAAACGAGCCAACACCCCAAATGAGCGCGTGGTTCCCTGGGAGGGATCGTTCGTCGAACGTCGATAGAGAAGATGCGATAAATGCCGACGCAATAATAGCTTCTTAATTACAGGGAGACTCGTTAGGGTTTGTGTCTACCAGATAGGATATTTCGTTCTCGAGAAACCGAAAGAGACAGAGAGAGAGAGAGACAGAGAGAGAGAGAGAGAGAGAGAGAAAAGGGAGGGGATGAGAGACAGAGCAGAGGATCGAAATATCGAGCCACCAGACAAAGAGCACCGTTACGCGTAGAAATCGTCCCAAAGAGAAATGAAATCGATTTGCATTTCCAAAGAACTCTGATTGTACGAAGCACCGGAATTTCCTTTGTCAATTTCGAGGTCGTTACTCGGCCGTTGCTGGCCGTTCGTACGAAATCATCGAGCAATTTCACGTTACGGGGTTTAAACAGTAATTCCGGCTGTACGACGTACACGCGGTTTCTACGAACGAAAGCATCTCGTCCGAGGCAAAAGGCGTAGAACACGGTAGACTCCACTCGCGTATCACCGCGACAAAGTTCGTCAACCAGTGTGACTTGGTGTCTCTTCTGGTCTCGTCTCGTCGCACGATTCTCACGGGAACGAGGCCACCGGAGTATATACTCTCCGGCACTCTCTGTCCTTCGATGCAAATGAATCGACGCGTAGATCTACTCTCTTCGAAATTTCGCCTCTCCGACACCTGTGCGTGTGCCTCGATGGGAAATGCGTGCTCCCTTGGAGAGCAGTTTCAGTGAATCAATCGGGACAAGAACGAAAGAGTCGCCTCTCGACTCCTTTGCACGCCCCGATTTTAAAAGGAAAGAGCATTTCTTTGCTCTGCCTGGACCAGCGTACATGCTTCCTTTTGTCCGCTCGTCTCGCGCTTCTGGCGTAACGATGAAAAAAGGATTCCCGCGGCAGCAGCACAGGCAAACAGCCGTCACGGGACATATATTCTCTGTTACTTTATTCCCCTACTTTCGCTCCGTTGGAGAAGTCACCAGCTGGCCGATGGTTACGCGAGAAACGACTCGCTGTTCCCTGACTCGCGTCGGCGAAAAACGCCGGACAACGCGCCATGAAACAAAAAGGTAACGACACGCCGTGTGTAACGTACACGACGATGTTTCGTACGTTTCTGACTCCACGCGAGCGGGAGAACCAGCGATCCTTGTCGTTTTGTCACATTACTCGCGTCCCACGCGTCAACTCACATTCACACGCGCATCGCGATTCACGTACATGTTCCGCACATGTCCCGTCTTCCGGGCTTTGGCTCGTCCAAATTCGTCGTGTAAAACGCGACAGCTTACCTGACATCACGAGGAAAGCGAGTGCCGCTCTTAGCCACAGGTGGCGAGTCATCTCGAATCCGCGTTTCTCTCCCTCGAGTTTCTCTCACTGGTCTTTCTCCCTTTCGTTCGCACAATTTTCGGACGCACACCACTCGCGAACCGTGTTTGCGTTTCCCCTTTTTTTTTTCCTCGCGTCGGAGTTACGAAAGCGTGGAGGAAAGCATGGAGGATCTCTCTGGCAGCGTGCAACCGAGAACTGATTTACACCAGTCTCACGAGATAGTCATGGTACTCGGAGCGGGCGTTGAACACGCCACCCCCCCGTTATCCCCGGTACGGAACCGTGGTCTCACCACACCGGTTATCTCCGTGAACGTCGAGACGTCAAACTCACCGTGCGCGGCGTGCTGTGCCGACTGATCGCGAGGCTACACTGGCGGAGAATCGCGGCGGCGGTGGCGACAGCGGCAATTCGAATCGCGGCGAACCGCCAGGACGGCGCGATTCGACGTTTAATTTTTCCTTTTCACGTGGCCCGCGAGACGCGCGAGAACGCAGTAGCGGCGTTCGCGCGTGCAGCGTGAACGCCAACGCGCGACTATACGAAAGAGGATCGATCGATCGATCGATCGGTTATCGATCACCGTGCGCGGAGCAACGCCACGAGCACCAGAGAAGAGATTTTAAGCACTGTTGACAGGGTAATTGCACGTATATCTGCACTGGATTGCGACAGACGAGACTGAGCGTCGCCGCGCGAAGCTGTTCCGCCGCGAGTCGCGCGTGCGCAGACCGCCCTTCCATCCCTTCCGCTGCGCTTCGCCCGAACCATCCGAAAGATCGCGGCTCTCCTTCGCTCTCCCGCCCGTTTCTCTCTCTCTCTCTCTCTCTCTCTCTCTCTCTCTCTCTCTCTCTCTCTCTCTCTCTCTCTCTTTCTCGCGCGCGCACGTTCGTGGCTCGACCATCGCCACTCAGTCCCCGCTGCACGCACACGATCAACGAGTCGCGCCGTGATCTTATTCCACACCTCCTTTCGGAGTGAAACGAGAACGCGAGCGCGCATACTGAGAGGGAGAGAGAGAGAGAGAGAGAGAGAGAGAGAGAGAGAGTCCAAGCCCTCTGGATTCAATTTGCCGACCGAAACTTTTTGTTGAATAAGGTTTGTTACGTATCATCATTCAGTCGCATTAAGGCCATTGTCGAGCCTCTTCCTCTTACTCCAGAGACTTTATCCTTCAGTATATTTCCCAGCGTCCGCGACGGCCAACCGTCCGACGCGACGTTGAATGCTACGCGGTAAACCGCAAACGTACTCCACGATACTTTCTCTCTCTCTCTCTCTCTCTCTCTCTCTCTCTCTCTCTCTCTCTTTCTCTGCTCGTGTGTGCCTCTCTTTTGTCCGTCTCGCATAGGTCGGACCTGTCCGCAGGCGCCAGGGTGTCGAACTGTGTAACAACATATGCCGATCTCTCGCTCGAAGGCGCATCGACAACGCGCGTGTTCTCGCAACTTCGAGAGGAGGATGTGAACATCCAGCTACCGACAGTTAGGAAATCCAAGTGCTCGATGAGTAACGGATTCACGGCTCCCTGTATCCTGTACCCTGGCCGCTCGCCGATTACGTTTATGCACGATTTACGGGTCGCGAGATTTATGACCGAATAAACCAACCCCCCCAAGCCCTGTGTCTCGGCTCTCGCGATGATCCAGCTCGAATATCCGCGCGGGCGGATCTTTACATTTTTCCAGAGGTACTATCGAAAGCGTACCTCACTTGATCTTTGATCCAAGTTTTTCGTTGTCGATGGAAATATTTCAATCACGAATCCTAGTCAGTTGGTTTGAATCGTATTTTGTCAAATGTTAGTACACAATTGAAAAAAGTAATGCACTAAATCGTAGTATATTTTTGTTTTATCTTGGTCAATTTTTTTAATGCATTATGTAGAACATTTGACACGTGTTGTCTGCAAAATTTCTTCACCCTTTCGACACTAACAACAACTACAGTCGTCCATAAAGAATTCTAATTTACAACTTTATTGTTGTAAAATATCCGTCGTAGGTTTATACGTCTATCCCTGTTTTGAAATATTTGAAATATCACGTCAAAAAATTATATCATCGTTTAATTATATATTATTCTGAAATAGTTGGTCCGAATTGTATTATCGAACAATTTTACAAAGTGTCATTACTGTAAAACGTGTTGAGGCACGATCTCTTCCCACCAATTCGTTACATCGCGCGACTTAATTGTTACGCTCCATATCCGGTGAAGTGGCGCTCGCGTCGTAGTCCCGTTCACTGGCAACGTATTCACCATTAAACTGCCCCGTTTATCCAACATGGTGGCCAAAGGACGAAGCATCGAAAATAATAAATGAAATAAAAATCCTCGAGTCTCGACGCAATTTATTATTATCACGCACGATGTGTTCACAGTTTGTCCTCGAATTTCCAGCAAACAATTCCCCGCCGGTTAAATACGCGCGTATTCATTAGGAATATCGCCAAAAAAAGGTCAGCAAGCGCAGTACTCCTGCGAGGGCACATCCGCGATCCCAATTTATCTTTTCCTGGCCCGTTCTTTCGCTCAGCTTTTGTCGCCTTTCTTTCTTCCCCTTTCCGCCCCTTCCTTTTTCGTGTCTCGTGAATCTTGACCCCGGAAGTGCCCCTAGAAGCGGGAAGGGGGTCGGGCAGAGGGTCGAGCAAAAGGCAGCGAGACCCCGCTGAAATATTACGAAGACATCATTCGTTACCTCTGCGTCGTTTATCCGTATCGTCGTTCCGCCTCGAACGTATAAAACTACCCTCCATCCTCATTCGCCGGCGGTTCAAGTCTCTCGGATCTCTGTCCGTCTATGCTTTACCGGCGGTGTTCGGGAGATCGCGCTTTAATGGGACAACCGGACCGAAAGGGCGAAAACAGCGTTGCCCTCGTTTCTTTTTCTCTTTGGCGGGGAACGCGGGGCACCGTGGCGTTAGTTTCAGGAAGGCAGGAAGCAAGCCCGTCTGAATTATCGCACGTTACTTATTTCCTCTTTCCACGTGTCGTTCTTCGCGCTCGCGCATCCCTTTTTCTCTCTCTCTCTCTCTCTCTTTCTCGTTTGTAAGTATTTGCTTATTTACAAAATATCAGATAAGCCTTGGGAGAGATTCAAATATCATTGAAATATCTAAAACTTGTAAAAGGTGAAATAAAGGAGAAAGCTTCAAAAACTACGAATCTTGTTTGACGTTGTGATAAATCTCACTCTTGCGCTCTAAATATTTGCTTTCATTCCTTCCATGCTTTTATAACTTTTATAACTTTGCCTGAACCTTGCACGAGAACTGTGATTATTTAAATCAATTTTATACAAAACCGTACAGCGGCTTGTGCAAGATGAATCGTTATCCTGCACGAATGCGAAATCACGAGTTAGTGCTTCCCTCGATAATTTAAACCAATTATCGCACTTCACACCAACTCTGGTAGTATCCTAACGTTTATTAACGAGACAATAAATATGCACACCCACGTGGAACGTCTAGTAACTCGAAGAAAAATGTGTACGATATCTACGACGGTGCGTATACTCTCGACTAACGTGTAGCTTGTGACTTATGTGAACGCCCACGAGCGTGAACGCGACTCATCGTCAGAGAGAGAGAGAGAGAGAGAGAGAGAGAGAGAGAGCTTGGGATTCGAGCAGAAAGAGGGCGATATGTAAAAAACCGTGGAGGATCGTCTCGCCAGAAGCATTGAACGACGCACCATTACGCACTTCACCGTCCAATTTTTCTCTTTCCACCCTTCATTCCTTTTTTCTCTCTCTCTCTCTCTCTTTCGGTCTTCATATTTCAGCCTGCTTCAAGATACACGACTGTATCCTATTATTTATTGACCCATATATTCATTAGATCATGATTTATCATGTTTCAATGGAAATTACAATTTGTCGTCGTTTGTAGCGAGAACGAACGAAGAAACGGGATTAATACGCAGAGTGAGAGAGTTGGAAAGGAAAATTGCCGAAGAATTACAAAAAGAAAAAAAAAGATACAACAAAACTGTCGCGTCAACGCTGGTAGTGAATTTTAAATTGTTCCAGTACAATTTCAGTATAACGCAACAAGTTACTCACGGCAACAGTGGAATTATACTGTTGAAATTCAAGATCTTTAACGACAAAGATCAATCACACAGGGTTCCAGTTTTGCTCCAATAATTAATCCAGCAGAATAGTTATTGGGAGAAGAAGAAGAGAAAAAAGAATAAAATTAAGAGGAAGACAAAATCGAATTTTATAAAACCTGTTGTCCAGTACAGTTGAAAAGTTTTATTGCGCTTTCGTCAATTTCAACTGACCGAGGTACTCGCAAGGCATCCCTTTCGTTATTTCCACGCGAAATTCACGGAGCAACGATTTTTATGAACGCTCGCGCGCAAGTTTACTGCGCAATTTGTATATTTTTTTCGTGCCGTCGAACCATCGAAACACACGGGCGAAACATTTCAACGGAAATCACGTGCACACATCTGCCTGGATATATTTCCTCTTAACACTTTGCTGACTGTATAGAAGGAGAAAGATAAACACTCTCGGAGCCTCCCTTGCTCGACACAGTGCGCCGACGAGGGTCGGATATTTAAAACGAAGGGGATACAAAAAAAAAAAAAAAGAAGAAACGCTCCAATTGTTACGTAACCGTGAAACATTTGACGACGGAGGACACTTTTTGCCTTGACGTATAGCAAGATGTTACTTAAAAAAATGATAACTCACTGCAAGACGCTTACGAAATATCTTCAGGAAGCTTAATCTTCAGAAAGATAACTGGGTTAACGATGTGTTGTTCTCTGTCACGATGCATTAACGATAGTTTCATTCTCGTGTTTGCCGATTAAGAGCCAGGTAATGTTTCACTCGTATTTTTGGCAAGTATCCCCGATATTTAGAATATATTTTATTTTGCCTCGTACAGTCTGTTTCAAAGGAAGAAAAAATTGTCTTCCGATGAACTTGCTTGACAAACTTTAACGAATCTGTCAGTAGCGATGTAATTGAAATAAATGTTCGTCCGTTCGCGATCGAAGAAGTGGAACTTCATAGAAATTTAACAGTTAACGACAGGATTGTCCGTTTAACATAATGGAGAGTAATTCGCAGTCGTTTCTATGCGTCATGAAATTTATCGTACGCGAATATCACATTCCAATTTAAATAGGAGATCGTGTTCCGCCACGATGCGTTGAAATTTATTTAAAACAAATAGGACGTATCTGTGTGTCTGGCGATTGGAAAAAGATACTTCTCGAAACGGTTACAAAGTGTCAGCCAGTATCCACGGTAAATCTCCAAGGAAATAAGTTCGCTGCTTATACAGAAGGTTACTCAAGTAATTAAACTTTTAAAACAGGGCAGTCTACCGAGGAGAAACGACTACGGTGTACACGAATTTTTTTGCACAGCCGCTCCAGTTTGAATTTCAACTTATCGATCGCGCGATATTTCGATATTTTTGGAAAAGAGAAATTCGAATATCGTTCCCGGAACGGAAAAAAATTTGTAAAAAGTACATAATACCTTCTCGTTGTTGGACTTTTCGTTTCCAAACTTTTCTCAGTCGATCAAGTTGTCTCAGAAAAGAAACAGAGAGAGAAACGTGCGTTGCGCGCGATTTAACAAGATCCGATAGAGAAAGAGAGTAAAAAAAAAAAAGGATTTCTGAAAATGTAATTCCTTTCTC